TTTTTTATTTTAAATCTAATCTAAAATTTGTCTTTAAACTTAAAAAAAAATAGAATTATATTATTTTGATTTAATTTATTGATTTAGTANTAGTTTAATTCTCAAGTTGTGTAACTAATGGGTCTTTGGTTTAATGGTACTCCTTGACTTGTAAAATTTTGTCTTTTTGAAGTCAAGGATTCAAGTTTTCCTCCCCTTTCATTTCCCAAAAAAAAAAAAAACTCTAGAGCTATATAATTCGGACTAGAATCGAGTTTAAAACTAATTTGACTTGCACCGGACCTTATTTATTAATTCAATTGAATTTAAACGTCAATATTTACCGGTTCGGAATATAAGTCTTTTATGTTTGAGATCTTTACCTGACCATTTTTTATTTTAAATCTAATCTAAAATTTGTCATTAAACTTAAAAAAAAATAGAATTATATTATTTTGATTTAATTTATTGATTTAGTATTAGATTGATAGTAGACCTCAATATTTTTATAAATTCACTATTAATTCATTAATTATAATGAATTAGTTTAATAAATTATATCTATAAATTAAGTTTAAATAGTAATATTATTAAAAATTCTTATACAAATATAAAAATAAAAATATTTGAGTTTTTTAGATTTGTTTGAATTCAAAGTGAGTAAGACTGTAAGAGCCAAGAGGAGCAGCTTCAGAGAAGATGCCACCAGAAGCCAAGTTCGAGATGGGGGAGAGAGAGAGAGAGGATTGGGGTCAACTATTTCGTGGATCAACGGCTGACAGATACCAATGAGTCAAAGACTGTGTCTTTGTGTTCCCTATTTTTGTCAGAGAAAATGAAAAGACTCGGCCAAAAGCCGGCCTAGGCCAGCCTGTTTCCCACCCCGACCCCTCAAAGGACAAACCCTCCTGGCTCCTTCTCTCTCTCTCTCTCTCTTCCCAATCCCACTCTGCACAGCCCCATCAGGGTACTGGGTTCATGCCACGTGGTAGTTTCATCACAAGCCTACATACGAATCAGACGGACTTGCTTCAGAGTGGGTCATTATGAGTTGGGAGTAAGATGCAGTCTTCGTGTTTTATTAAAAATATATAATTTTTTTTGAAGTATAAATTATGAATAAAAAATGTATGATGGATAAAAAAAATATTATGATTAAAAATTGATCACGGAAGAAATAATTTTTAAAGATCAAATTATAACTTATTGAATTAATTTATGATTTATTACAATATTTCATCATTTATCATAATTTTTTTCAAGCAATTATAACTTTACTTTTAAAATGTATAAATTACTCTTCACACACATTAACATTAGTTATCTCTCATGTCTGAAGGCACGAAGTAATAAAAAAATAATGAACAGTAAATATATTTATACTCACACCAAAAATTAAATTATAAAAATAGATGAGAGAAAAAGAATGTTAAGCACCGCAAAAGGGAACGAGTGATGGTGGTGGGAGACGATGATGGTTCTGATGAATGACCACGACCGGTTTTGTGATGGTGGCAATGGTGATGGTGGTGGTAGGGAGGTGAGGGTGGTGATGGTAGGGGGTGATGGTGGGATAGTGACAATGGTGATAAATTGGTGGTTGGGTAGTTGTGGAGGTGGCGCGGTGGCGAAAAAAGTGGTAGGGTGGCGACATCAATAATGATAATGGTGGAGGCAATGAGCGTTGTGGTAATGGTGATGGTGGGTGGTGGGGTGTAGTTGTAATGGTAGGGTGGCGACAATGTTGGTGTGATGGTGGCGACAGTAATAGTGGTGGTAATGGGGCAGTTACAAACACTATTTTTTTTTTTTTTAAAAAAGTACTTTTGAGAAGTTATAAATTCTAAAAACACTTTTAAAAAATTACACTAAACACACCTTTAGGAGTCTATTTTCTATATTAAATTTGGGGTGTTAATATTAGCCGTCTGATTAACTCTAAAATAAAATTTAAAGATATCTCAACCGTAAAAAATAAAAATCGTTTTGTTTATCTTTCGAGATTGAAATTATATTGTACTTTATTTTATAGATTTTATTTTTTTAAAATTTGATTCAGCTTATATGAACAAGATAAATTTTAAGGTAAAACTGAAACATATTTATTACAATTTATATCAGTTAAAACTAGGTCAAAATAAATTGAATATTTGAATTAGATTTTCAATCGATTGGTAGATTTAAATAAAAAACTTTAATAGGTAGCTCAAGCACTAATAAAAACGAACTGTAAAATTAGACGTTTTAAGTTTAAATCTTTATAATTCTTTGGGATTAGACAATGATAAATTTATTCCTCATGAAATATCCTAATTCTAGCATGGATAACCTACTTTTGAATTAATCAAAGAAGAGATTGGTTGAGGTGCGTATAAACTGGTTTGGACATTATTGATCGTTGCACAAAAAAAGTTTATATAGGGACTGTGAAACTGATATTCGTCAAATATTCAAATTTAAGATGAATTATGTAAATTAATCAACATCTCTTCAAAATTGGATCCATTGAAAAGTTTAGTCAAAATAATACAAGAAACCCATTTACAGTGACAGTTATAATCAACGAGCTCTCAAGTTTGACTTTCAGAAAAATAGTTTTTATTGTTTAATTCACACAAAAATAATTGTATATGACTATGCACATTCAAAATTTATGCCATACCATATGGTTTTTAATTCCAACCAAAAAAGTCAAAAAGAAAAAGGGAAAATTCTATTTTACACCCTTATGGTTTGAAGCAGTTGCACTTTACCCCCCTTTGTGATTTTGTAATAAGCACTTTAACCCTTTAATGCTTTTGGACTTCTTTGCACAGATAACGTCCTTCACGAAAAATATAAAAAGACCACGATATCCTTGTATATATATTTATAACGAATGCTAAATATTTCAGCCATTTTTCTTTATCAGTCATCCCTCACTTGGCATGCCCAAAATTGTGATTGAATTGCACCAAGTCCAATAATCACAATCCTTACACTTGCTAACATAATATATTCTTCCTTTTAATAGTTCATAAGATTTCACTAGTTTTATTGTGATTTTTATACCACGATCACATACTTTAAATCTATAGTACGAAGGGCATTGTTGTATTTTAAACGTCAATATTTTGTAGGGAAATATCATATTTCATGTCCAATCGTATTTTAGTGCGTGAGGACCACGATTTTTTATTCTGACAAGACAGTTGACCGGAGCAAAAAAGTCTAAAAACATTTACGGGATAAAGTGCAACTACTCCAAACCACAAGGGAGTAAGTTGTGTGGTGAGAGGTTCGAGTTAATTGATATGTTCTTTTCCACTCCTTAAAAACTAAGATCCTTTTGAAGGTAATGTTGGGACTTGGACTTATTGGTCTTCTTGAACACTTGTAATTACAATACGATGTTAAGTAAAATACATTTAAAATATGCATATATCCTGGTTTCCACCCATATTTAGGGTTAATAGAACGAGTTCAAACGAACTTAAATCGAGTTTGTTGAGTACGTTTTTTAAACGAGTTTAAAAAATTATTCAATTTAAACGAGTTAAATTCGAACCGAGTTTGAGTATTTATACATAAACAAGTTGAGTCAACCATTCAAACTTATGTTCAAAAAAAAAAAAAATCAAACTAAGTCTGTCAAACTCGTTTTCTAAACGAGCCTATAAATTATTCAAATTCAATTTTTTTTAAAAACAAATCAAGTTTGAACAAATTCAAAATAAGTCAAACTCAAATAACTCGATTATTAACCCCATATCGTTTAATATAAAAGCGTGAGTTAATACTCTTATATAGGGATGTTAATGGACCGAAGCGGGAGCGGGGGGTGTATAGTCTTCGTCCCCGTACCCGCCTAAAAAATCTTTGTCCATCTCCGATCCAACCCCGTTAACGGGTGTAATTTTTATCTTCATCTCCGTCCACGGGTAAATATATAATCTTCGTCCCCGTCCCCGGTTCCCCCGTAGCCGCATAAGCCCAAGCTTAAGCTTAAACCTAAGTCTGAGTTCAAGCCAACATAATTTAAAATTCTAAATAAATCTAACATTTAAATAATCTAACATAATCTAACACAACATAATATAACATAACATATTCGAATATAACACAAACAACAAATGTCCAAAATACTACTTAAATTTGATATAATTCAATATTACACAACATAACACAAATAACATAATGGGGTGGTAGAATCATCTCAATCAATTCAATTATCTCTTAACACTAACTTCACACCAACTCAAAATTAGAAAAAGAATGCCTATTACAAATAACAAGAAAATATTTTAACACTAGCAATTTTTTCAACATAGGCAATATCATAAGAATTAGTTTTTCTCACTTAATCAACTACTCAATATAAAGCTAAAGCTCTGCATGCAGGTGAAAAAATATAAACTACCTCAGATGATAACAGAAAACCATAGCATACTGAAGAAGGTCAGCCATGACAATTCTCCAACAAAGATTGCACGAGAGTTGAGATTAGTAGGATAAACAAATAATGCAACAATCTTGCACAGTTAATAATACTCTCAAAGTCAAAACAACAAGAAGAAAAGAACAAGACCAAAAAACATACTCATAAGCACATTAACAAGTTTACAAGATGACACAAAATTTTAAAGTAATTATAGACAACAAAATACTTGATGCATTAGACTTCCACATAAATACTAGATGATTTATACATATAACGGGGCGAGGACGGAACGGAGGTAAGAGTAAGTTCATCCCCGCCTTTATTCTCACACGAGTTTATATAGATATTCCTGTATACGTCCACTATTCAATACATATAGTCCATCTCCGATCCAAACGGAACGAATTTAGACAAATATCTATTTTCTTCCGGTCCACTGTCATCCTACTGTTATACAAACAACAGTGGGTTAAAAAAAATACATTAAAAAAGTATTTCAGATTAAAAAAATAATTTGAACAGAACAATACCAACAACCCAAAAAAAAAAAAGGTTTGAAAAAACAGTACCAAAAAATTGATTCTCATAACACCACCTCCAACCCCTGCCTGACAGAAGAAGACTAACAGCAAGAAAAACCAGTCTTCGGAATTTAAAAGATGCAAAATTTCAACTTTAACAGTTGTCAACCTCCAACCACACAAAGTTACAGAAAAGTCAGAATAACAATAAACAATATAATACAACAAAAAGCCAAAAATGCTATAGACATATTCAGACAAATAAAATATTCCAAAGAATCAGATAAAAATTTAGAAAAAACAACTAACTCCATCCAATGGTCCAATTCCAATCAGTTCATGGAACTCTCCCCCCACGACACCATTTAAATTCAAACCCCGAACCCACCTATAAAAATCAATGCACATTTCTTTAAATCCTCCAACAACAAAAAAATTTAAAAAAGAGAAAAAAAACCAACATAATGTACCACCTTGATTTCTAATCACCCTCCCCAATCATCTGCACAACACAGTTTAATTCACCAATTTGAGCGCCCCCCCCCCCCCCACTTTTTCGGAAGGGGGCAAGGTCGACCGGTGAGACGATAAAAGGATCTCTCACCAATAATGATAGAAATTGGAGAGTATGTTGGGAAAGACCCAAATCCTACTCTTTTTCTTTTCTTTATTTTGGGAGTTTTGAAAGAGTTGTTGTGTCTACTAAGGTGTGACACCACGAGGTGAGGTCCTAGCTTCCGGAGTAGTGGGACCACCCGATCCCTTTGACGGATCATCGGACGACTGTCGTAAACCATCATCGGTTTCCGCTCTATTCATCTCTTCAATCATCCTCACCACCTCTCGCATATCCGGCCTCTGATCAGGCACAGTGGCTACACATGCCATTGCAATTTGCAACAATTGTACCATCTCTTCCTCAATATTATTGTACCTCATCAACTCCACATCAAACACCTCTGCGGTCCATTCCTCCCGGACCACTGATTGGACCCACCTCGGTAGATCAATGCCTTCCTCACCCAATGAGGCCTGGTTTGGTGCTTTTCCAGTCAATAATTCTAATAATAACACCCCAAAGCTGTAGACATCAGACTTAAATGTAACCCTGCGTGCTTCGAGGACTTCAGGTGCACGGTAGCCAGCAATGCGGTGGTTGGGCGATGTGGAGCCACTGAAGAGCGGGTTGAGCCCAAAGTCAGACACGCAGGCATCATGTGTGTCCTGCCGGAGAAGGATGTTGGAGGACTTGATGTTGCCATGGACCACTTTGCCTGAGAGGTGAAGGTGTGCAAGGCCTCTGGCTGTGCTTAATGCAACTTTCATCCGGTTGTCCCAGTCTAATGGTGTCCTCCCTGAGCCTCTGCTCCCTGCAAAATCATTGAACAAAAATTTCCGGTGACCGGAGGAATCAATATGTATGTTTATTTCAATAAAACGTCATACAATCAATCATACAAAAATATTATTTGCAATTCCCTTTTCAACTGCGGCACTGTAAACTCTTTGGTGCAATTTTCACATAAACTGCAGTGCTCCAATAAAAAATGAGTTGCAAGTTACAATCCAAATTACAACTCAACATGCTGGATAAAAAATTAACAAGAAAAGACACAAATTGTAACAATTGTGAATGCCGCTTTTTCTAGATTCGTCGCCTGCTAATACGACGCCGTTTCAAAACGACATCATTCTATTTAATAAAATAATGCCATTTGTTGTGAAATGACGTCGTTGTAAACAACAACACCCCTGTTAGGTTTGAATCCCTAAACTAACAGTAGATGGGTTTGAAAATTAGGTACATTAGTTGGGATCATATTGGGCAAATACAGAAGATACTTCAGACATGACAAAATTCCTATAATAGGTCAGAATTATCCTGTGATGATTTTTGAAAAATGGGTACAGTGGTCTGATTAAATAAGGAAACGGAGGATTGCATTGCCAGGGCACTCTCGGGGAAAAAACTTCTTGAATTAAAAAAAAAAGTTAGAGAGAGAGAGAGAGAGAGAGAANACTTCTTTGCACAGATAACGTCCTTCACGAAAAATATAAAAAGACCACGATATCCTTGTATATATATTTATAACGAATGCTAAATATTTCAGCCATTTTTCTTTATCAGTCATCCCTCACTTGGCATGCCCAAAATTGTGATTGAATTGCACCAAGTCCAATAATCACAATCCTTACACTTGCTAACATAATATATTCTTCCTTTTAATAGTTCATAAGATTTCACTAGTTTTATTGTGATTTTTATACCACGATCACATACTTTAAATCTATAGTACGAAGNAAGCTTAGAACTGAAAAAGCATTTTTTTTTCATCATTAAAAAAAGCAAAAAAGCATGTCGGCAGTGAATCATGGTGGTCTGTTGGGGATGTTTGAGGTATTTTATTTTATTTTTTCAGGGGGGGCATGCATGTAATTAACAAAGTAAAATAATAGTAAAGGACCTCCTCAATCGTCAATCCTCATAAATGCGCCAGGGTGCGCATTTTACGCTCTAAAAAGGATGTTTGCATAAGCCGAGGAAAATCCGGATTCCGCGCTTCTTAGTTAATAGTCCCACGAAAGTATGGAACCGAAATGCACCAATTTATAATTCCCAAAATACCCTCAATTATTCCCAAGTTAGTTTCAGAAATCTTAAATATTTTTTTTTACAACAAAAAGGGAGAAGAAACTGTAGGTACATTTGCATAATTTTTAGGAAAAAATATACCCTAAAATTCTGTAAATAGAAAAATAGAATAATGCTAGAGTGACTAAAAAATTTACACGCTCACAGATCAATGAATTGACTAAAATACCCCTATGCAAGCTCAAGTTTAGATATAACTTTTATATAGAATTTAAAAAAATAAGGAAACAAAAAAAAAAAAAAAAAAAAAAAAAATTTTCCATAACTGTTACCAGCTTGAGCTTCATCACCGGCAAAAAATCAGAAACAAACCCTAAAATGTAGCAAGAAATTTCATATCCACAATCATATAGGGAGAGAGAAAATCAAAATCATGCCATTAAAACATCAGAAAATTTTGAAAACAGCCACAAAAATGTAGCAAAATTTACCAGCACAAACACGAGAGGGAGAGAGAGAAAGATACCATGGAGGAGAGCAGATAAGCTCCCAGCAGGCATATAGTCATAAACCAACAACTTCTCATCCTTAGAGTAGTAGAAAGCTCTGAGAGGCACCACATTTTCATGCTTAATCTTCCCCAGAACCTCCATTTGCTGCTCAAACTCTTTCTTTGTCACAACCACATCTTTCAACCTCTTCACTACGACCGTCGTGCCCTCCTCCAACACCGCCTTGTACGACGTCCCAACACTCCCTTTACCCAACACCTCCGCCGATGCCCTCAACAAATCCTCCAAATCAAAACTATACACCCCACCATCGAAGAACACCAACTTGTTCCTCTCTCCTTCTGCAGACCCACCTGTAACATCGTCTTTTGATGAAGAAGTCCCCGCCTCCCCCGCCGCACGCGCCGTCGTAGGCGGCTTAGCAGCTTTCGGAGACTGTCCCCTTTTCCTCCTCAAACAGAGGATGAGAATGAGTAACAGGAGGAGTAGAAGTAATGCTGAACCTATGGATATGGCAATGATAGCTGCTGTGGGGAGTTTTTTAGATTTCTTATGCAATGGCTTTTCCGGTGGCTCAACTGGCGGCGATGGAGAAGGTGAGGGGAAAAATGGGTTACATGGGGGTAGTGGTTCACCGCAGATATCAATGTTTCCGGTGAATGCCGAAGCTGGGAATTTAGATAGTGTTCTAGGGATTGAGCCATTGAGATGATTGTTCGAGACATTGAAATCGACAAGGCCGCCTGGGTTAATGCTAGGAAGATTGCCGGAAAACCCGTTGTTTTCCAAGAAAAGACCGGTTAGGTGTGTTAGATTGTTGACGGAAAAAGGGATTGGACCAGTGAAGTTGTTGGTGGACAGATCTAGACGGGTTAAGCGAGTTAACTCGAAGAGACTCGATGGGAACTCGCCGGATAAATTATTGTTCTGAAGGTAGAGGCTACGGAGGAGCTTAAGATTGGAGAAATCAGAAGGAATCTGGCCGGTGAGTCGGTTCGCGCGGAGACTGAGGACTCGGAGCTGACTCAACTGGCCGAGTGTGTTCGGCGGAATCTGACCCACAAGGCCAACGCCGGGAAGCCGGAGAGAGTAAACAAAAGACTGATTCGCATCGCATTCGACGCCAACCCAACTGCAGGCTGAGTCTGAAGCGTTCCATTGGATGCGATTTTCGTGTGGGGTTTTGGAAATGAAAGCAAGGAGGGCTTGCTTGTCCTGAGTTGGCTCCGAGTCAACTCGGTGACTCAAAAACAACAGAAATGAAACAAATGAAAAAAGAACAACAGCTCCACACCCAGAATTCAAAAACATTGCCACTGAAATAGGTTTTTGCCAGAAGAATTGAAAGAATGAGTTTCGATTTACTTGTTGGCTTCTATTGGTGGTTTGTGGTGGCGATTCTGATCCGACTGATAAGTAATTCCCCGGTGTGAAGCCATGAGTTTTACAGAGAGAGAGAGAGAGAGAGGGAGGGAGAGGACTGGTGTTTATGGGGTAGCCAGTAACAGGAGAGAGACAGAGAGAGATGAGGGGGTGGGGGTTTGTAAGGACTGTCACGAGAGCATGAAAAAAGTGAAAAAGAAGACCGAGGAAAAACAAAACAGAAACGACTGTGCTGGCAGCAATGAAAACGTTATTCTGTTTTAATTACTTTTACCACTTTCGGAACGATGTTTTCCATTTTTATTTCACGCGCAATCCTTGACGCGTGATGGAAATGAGCAAACAACATGGGCCTATTTGGTCGGAAATTCTGGGCCTATGGTCCGATGGAGTGAAGTGGGTCGTGGGGTCCAATTGCGTACAATTTTGCACATAATTTATATAATTGTAGGCTACATTATGATGGTTGGTGGCCACCAAAAGTTTCATTGATTGAATTGGCTTCTTTTTGGAAATTTCAATTCAATTTCCTCATGTATAGACAAATATATGACACCCACTTCTTTTTTTTATTATTATAATGTTTTAGGAAATAGTCTCTCTTCAGTTCTTTCATTTTTCTCCAGCCTAATTATTCGTCATAAATCTTTTAAAAATATAATTATAACTCCCACTTGAGATACAAAACAATGCGATACATTATTGGATTTTTTATTTTTATTTTTATTTTTTGGACAAAATACTAAGTATTGCAAACATAAAATATTCATACTAATTTTTTTTTATTATAAGTTGTCTAAGTTTGTGTCGACAAATCCCTCGAGTTTTAAACCGGCCATCGTAATTCGAATTCGTTTAAGGACATGTTTCTTCAAAAATAAGGGCGAATGACTATTAAGAGGTGTGAAAAATATCAAACTTGAGTCAGACTTAATCACTGGACCACCCCTAAGGATTAATATTCATACCAGATTAATCCTTTCTTTTGAGTGGCAATCTTTTGTTGTCTTTTGTAACTCATATTTGTGATGTATATCTATTTGAAATCAATACATAGTTACGTAAAAAAGATATATGAAATGGTTTCCTAAAATTTTATTCAAGAATTTTGTCTCAATGAGCTTTTATTAATATAACTAATGAATCTAATATATATATACTAGTTATTACCCTTATTTGAAGGTACGAATTAATAAAAAAAATTATCAATTATAAACATTATATTAATATTCAAAATCAAATCACAAATATAGAGAGAAAAAAATTAAGCACCAATTGTAATAGGGGTGGACGGTAATAATAATGGTGAGCAACAATAATAGTGATGAGAAATGATGATGGTTGTGGTAGGCGGGGATGATCATGGTGGTGGTGGTAACGGTGATGGTAATGGTGGGTGGTAGCGAATGGTGGTGGTGGTGGATTTGTGGTAGTGAATGGTGATGAGCAACAATGTTGATTGTGGGTAGTGATGGTGGGCGATGATGGATGGTGGCGGTGGACGACGATGGTGGTAAGATGATAGCGATAGTGGTAATAAATATAAGAATAATATGATGATAGTAATAGATGATGGCAATGAACGACAGTGGTAGCAATCGATGGTGAGCGAAGATGATGGTAGTAATCTATTATGGTGGTGGTGATAATGGTGGTAGTAATGATGATGATGGTTAGGGTGGGAGTTGGGCAGTGGAGATGGCAATGATGATGGTGGGGTGGTGGTTATAACATAGATAATGGTGGTGGTGGTGGTTATGGCAAAAATGATGATGGTGAGGTTGCAACAGTAGCAGTGGTGGGGGTAATGGGGGTAATGGTAGAGCAATGGAGGGGGGGGGGGGTAGTGGTGGTGGTGGTGGAGCGGTGATGGGGGGTAATGGCAGTAACGGTGGTGGTGATGGTGATGGTGGCAATGGCGGAGTTGGCTGTGGGGAGGTGACGATGGTGGTGGTAGTGATAGTAATAGAGTTAAGGGTGGTGGTGGGGTGGTAAGAGTAGTGGTGGTAGTGGGGTGATTTTAAACACTATTTTTTTTTTTAAAATGCTGGTAAGAAGTTATAAGTTCTAAAAATACTTTTAAAAAATTACCAAAAACAGATCCTTAAGGGGCCTATTCAATTTGAGGGGTTAATATTAGTCATCAAATTAATTTTAAAATGATCTCGATTGCAAAATATAAAAATTATTTATTTATTTTTAAAATTGAAATTATCTTATACTTTATTATATAGATATTATAAATTATAAAAAAAGTGAAGGCATTATACAACTACCCAATAATAAATCATACTTAAGAATGGACACAAATCCCGTAGACATTATAATAAATCTACCTTCATCATTCTAATGAGCTCTTGATCGTTATATATATATATATATATAGTCAAACTTCAAAATTCATGTGTTTTGTGTAAAAGTGGAGTAGTACACGTTCCTTGGAAGGGCGTGGGTTTATGTTTTAAGTCGTATTTATAAAGTAGAAACAGCTGCATGTGGTAATAAGTTCCAATTGACTACTTTCTTTGTATACACCAAAAAAGGTTTTGTGATTTGTACGCTTCCAAAAGAGCTCCAATTGAGTGATACGGGACCATTCAAGAGTCTGTTTTGAAGGGAGAAGCAGGAATCATGACTGCAATTTCAGCTTTAATTAGAGAAGCAATTTGCTGTGAGAAGAGCTTGTAGACTGGTACTGGAGGAGGAGTATAATTGAATCAGACTCCATACTTCTCATTGACTCGATTAATAAAGGGAAATAGTTTATGCAAAAAGAAATAGAATCGGTAGTGAAGAATATATGGTAAAATATATCAAGTTATTTACTGCCATATTTGTATAATATTATTGTCCATAATTAAGCATTGCCCACGTTTTAAACTCACATTCATCTATCCCTTTCGTCCGATTTATGACCCATACCATAGAGGATGACAATGGCAATGGCACAAATACATTATGCCTTGCTATTTTTAGGTATTATACCTTTATTTTCTATCTTTTAAATTTTAATACAAGTAAAAAAAATTATTTTTATTATTTTACATTTTTTTATTGTTTTTAAAAACAATGACCATACTGCTCACAGTCTACTTGATCAACTCCGGTAGACTGCTCACATTTTTTTATTAGTTAATAAGAATTGAGAGCAATCTGGCATAAAAATGATATTTACCCAAAAAGAATTTAGCAAATTGCATTAAATAAACTTCTTTTGTAATACTGATTGTCTAGGATCTTTGCTGATTTTATTATCCTTTGTCTTTTTGTCTATGTTTTTCTCCTACCCATGTTTGGTGCTGATGTAATTAAGAATATGCCATACTAGGTTCACCTTTGTCATTATACTTAGCCACCCTTTCATCTATATAGTTGAGTGTTTTAGAAAGGTGTTCATCGAGTCGAGCTTATTAAGAATTACTATGATGACGCTTTGCTTCGATTGTGACTGCATTAAACTTGAGCTTGACTGTTAAGTAGACTTTCTCATCAAGTTTAAATTGTTGCTTAAGTCTGATTTGACATACACTTAGGAATATTTGAACTCGAGTCCAAACAGAATTTAGATTGTCAAAAAAAAGTCTTAAAAATTAGGTTTTATAACTTAATAATCAACCTTACAACATTTGGCTTCTAAAAATAATCCTTAAATTCTATATGGCCATCCATAAAATCGGAGTCATAAGTTCAAATTTCAATTATTTATTAGAGAAGAGACAAAGAGAAAATTGCATATAGATAAGGGCAATTCAAACCAGTGAATTGTTGATACAGCGAGTAAGAACTCAGATAGAAATATAGAAGAGTTTTTAGTCATCCAATTAAATCAGGTAAGAATACGGAATACCCATCAAATTTTCGTATTCTTATATTTCCCTATATATATATATATATATATATATATATATATATAACCCTAAGTCCATAACGCCTCTTCATCTCACCTCTCACCACTCTCGCCTTAAGTGTATAATATGTAATTTCTAATTTTTCTGAAATTTTATTGTACATGATTTCTAAGATTTTGTATTTAATTTTCTAAGAATCTAAATTATAATATATGATTTCTAAATTGTTATTATAATTATTTTATTTTTGAATGTTATTGGTTTATTGTGTTGTTAAATTGGTATATGTTACTTAATTGAATTGTTTAAATGATTCAAAAATTAATAACTACAAAACATGTTCACTCAATTTTCTACTCGATTAATTTAGACAGAATTTGGGTAGGAATACTACACTTGATCGGGTAGGGTAGACGAAGAAAAATTTCTTCTGTAAAATATCGGATAAGAAGATAAAAGACCATATTTTTTATCCGTAGGGTAAAGTGAACACCCCTAATCATAAGTTTGTTTGAATAGACTAGCTGAAAGTTTTTAGAATGGGGCTCCCACAATGCTGTGGAATGTGTAACAATTGTAGGCCCAGTTAGTTTTTGGCCCATTAACTGACTCATTCTCAACAATTGGATTGGTCAGCTGGGTTCAAACAATAGCCAAAAAGCCCAATAAATACCAATGCCCAGTTGCGCATATTTTTTCAATACCCTAGTGAGATCATCTCTAATATCCTTTTTTTCCGCTATTTCTACCTTTTCTTGTGCATTCAGGGATAAATAGATACTTAAAATGTAAGTATATAGAAGACTCTCAATTGTTTGTAATATTCACAAGATTGTATATAATCAAATATTTCAACAAGATAAATTTCCTATTAGCTAAATCGCTTGAATTAGTTGAAGGAAACGTTAATAGATCACCCACTTATAGTAATAAGAATTGATTTATAAACAGTGAATACTACTTGAATTGATGATAAGTGATTTACTATTGACAAAATTTAAAAAAAAATATTAAAAAAAATATAAGCATGTAGAACATCGTACATGATAGTTCATAATTAAATGCTCATACGACAACCCCAAAATAACTTTTACTTTTTCTGGTGCATTAACGTGGGCCCACTTTAGCCATAGGAGCATGGTAAGAGGCTTCGTTTTCAATATTTTTATTACACAAAAAAGGGTAAATGTGGCTCACATAGCAGAGACAAATGGAACCAAGATGCTTAAATATTTTGAAATGTTTTGAGTAACGATCGTACCACAGTTGCAACAACTTAGTGTGATTTCAATGAGGTAGCTTGTGGCCAAATTAAATGCATTAGCTGGGCAAACCTCTAGCAGGCAGAGCATTGC